ACGCGTAGGCTACAATTATAATAGCCTATTAACTTATTCGTTAATGATATATAGTTCTAAATATTTTTGAATTCTCATTTTTGACCCCACAAGACAAATGGTCTAGGTCTGCCCCTGATTTAGAAGGTATTTATTTGCCGTACTACCTTCTAATATCCACTTGATATCATATACAGTCCCATAAGTATACTTTGATTTGGTATGAAAATGGGATCCCGAACTTTTCAGACTTAGCTCAATGCAAGCATAATGGTTATAACTGCAAGATTCTAAAGTTTTTAGTTAGGGAATCAATCTTCACAGTTGTTAACGACATTGTATCTTTTATCATGCAAATAATGTATATACTGGAATACGAGAACTTGTTAGTTTGCTATGTTGCCTTGTCTTCTAGTGATTTTAGTGACATTAGACTATATAGTTTGGGCTGATGTGGCAATTTGTATTTAGAGTATCACGTTTCTTATGATTAGGTGAGGTGAACTATGAATAGAACAAAAACCCATATGGAAAATGGAAATCTTGTTTAACAATGAAGTTATATTTCCTTCATCTTTATATTAAGGTTTAGTATCTTTTATGGTTGAAGTGTGTCAACTATTACAATGGAATTCATGCAGAGGAAGCATTGCATCCTACAAGCATATTTCTTAACACTAATAAGCTTCCATGAGAACGACACAAATGATGTTACTGGACTTATAATCGTCCATGAGAATGACACAAGTGTCGTTACTGAGATGAAAACGTTCTTGAGAACAGTATAAGAGTGCGTTATAATTTATATCATTTCAATAGTTTTTTATTAATGTCCATTACTTGAGGTCGTTATGTTGGAAACAAACCAAAATATAGGATAAAATAATAGAACGACACAAGTGACGTTATTGAGAAGAAGATAGCCCTTATGTCGTTCTATCTGTAAACACGATTATAAGCAGCCACATTTCATTCGTGCCCCGCGAACCATAAGTTGAACTCATTTAAGTTGTAAGATGGATATGGTGTTTACAAAAGTTGAGAGATATGTTCATTACTTATATTCTAATGAATCGGTAGAATGACTAGTTTTTCTTCACATGAGAACGGCACATGTGTTATGTTTACAAATATTAAGTGTCCATGAGAACATCACTTGTGTCGTTACTGAGATAAGAATGTTTATGAGAACGACACTCATGCCATTACTGAGATGAAAATGTCGATATTGTATAATCTATTTCAATTCAACCGTTTTCATCATATGATCAACTTTTCTGACTTTCTTAAGTTGGGGAATCCATTGCTTGAGGTTGTTACGTTGGAAACGAAACAAAGTACATGAACTATCAAACAGAATGACACAAAAATCATTACTAAAATGAAAATGACAATTGTGTCATTCTATATATAAACACGAGTATAAGTATCCACGACTTGTCCTTGCTCTGAGAACCAATAAGTTGAACTTATTTCAATTGCAAGTTGAACATGCGTTTACAAAAGTTACGAGATATGTTTTAATTATATTTTCTAATGAATCAATACAATGGCTTGTGATTTCACCAACACAATATCACATAATCTATGTCAATTCAATCATTATTTGTCACATGATCAATATTTCTGACATTCTTAAGTTAGGGAGTTCAATGCTTGAGGACATTGTGTCGGAAAAGAAGCAAAATATTCGAGAAATCAATAGAACGGTACAAGTGCCGTTACTTATAATGAAACGGCACTTATGCCATTTTGTACATAAAAAGAGTATAAGCAGCCATAACTCATTCTTGCCCCCGATAATCAATTAGGTAAACTCATTTAAGTAGCAAAATGAATATGTAGTTTACAAAAGCTGAGAGATGTACTCATTAATTAAATTTCCTAACGAATCAATACAATGACTTGTAATTTCACCAACTCGATATCATATAATCTATGTCAATTCAACTGTTATTTGTCAGATGATCAATCTTTCTGACACTCTTAAATTAGGAAATTCGATGTCGTTCTGGTCTATAAACACGAGTCTAAGCAGCCATGACCCATCCATGCTCTGGGACCCAATAAGTTGAATTAATTTCAGTTACAAGATGA